CATAAAATCAAGAAAAAAAAAATCCACAATCTTAATTGACCACTGCAAATAACTGAGCAGAGTTAAAAAACACAAAGTGAACAGTTTTAGATTCTGCCTGGCCTCATATTCAAAATGAGGATATCCTGAACCTCTCCTTTTTCAAAGTATTTTCCAAGAGAGAAAAAAAAAGGAAGGTGTCTTTGCTACTGGAAGACTCCTCTTGCTTTTAAAAAAAGACATCTACAGCAGGCAGACTACCAATTTTTTTGCCAAAACTGAAGTACCTCTGCATCTAGCAAAAGGAAACTGCAAAAAGCCCAGAACATTCACATAGCAATCAAGATATCTATGAAATATTTGCAGCAGACATAATACTGAGGCAAGAACAAATGCATAACTGATCTTCTTTAATTGTGATAATCATAAAACTATGTAATAAATAAGATTTTTACGATATTAGCATTCCAACATGATATCAAGGTTGTTTATTCAAAATTATTGATAGGCAAAATAGACAGCATTTTACAAAAATGATTGAAAATGAGAGCATTTTGTTATCAATAATAATTAGCAAAGCATACCTGGCTAATGCAGCAATATTTCCCAGAGTATAGAACACTGCAAAAAGTTTGATTCCCTTTGGGGTTTGTTCTTAGTCATCTAATTTAAAATGCATACTACATATTTATTTTCAGAGACTCTGAAGAACATCATCTTAATATATAGTAGCAATACTCTGTTCTCAGGAACTCGTTGTTGCCAATATGAAGCATGCTTCTATTGCCACCTGCTGGCAAAATCATGTATTGATTTAATATATTTTGCAATGTATTTCACAGCTATGTAATGTTTATTTTGGTTTTTATGACACAATTTCAGCTTCCTTAAGATCTGTTAGTATAGATAAATAATGCACGAAGGGAAAAGTGTCATAAACACTAACATCTAAAATTTCATTTTCCTCCAGTAGGCCCCCTAGATTCAGTCTAACTGTACAGAATCTGAAAAGAAACATTCTAAAAACTAACAAGACACTCTCTGTTAAATTTCAACAAAACACTAAAAATCCAAGTTTTCTGATGATTTTTAAGATAAAGAAGAAACAGAGCTTAAGTTACAATCAAAACACTACCCAACTGCAATTTCAGTGGCAATCTTTGTGGTCAGTTTGCACAGAGTACAGTGCAGAAACCACAAAAAGTAACAAGGGATGACTGTAACAAAGACAGACTACCTCTTGCAGAGATAAATCTAAAGAAAATATACTTGTTAGCAATACTAGTCAGCCAAAAAACTAATACACCTACCAGCTCTGAAAATATGAAATTTAAATATCAGGTATATTCTGAAATAATATTAGATGTATATCTACATAGCTATATACGTATTGTATTCTAAATTAGAAACGGGACTTCTTGATACAGACCAGGCACAATGCTTAAAGTCTGAGAAACAGCAGCAAGGAGTAACTGTAATCTGTCCAGAAACTGAGGTTAAAATAAACAGCTATGTACTAAAATTCATAATTATATTGGTTATATATTTCTTGCTCGGAAAGGCTGAAGGGAAGTCAACCAACTATCACCGAATTAACCCTAAAAACTAGCCCAAACTCCAGCGCCTTCTTTAGGAATTGCATGATCTATACAACATATATCTGGCCAGAATCTGTGTCACTGCACTCAGTATGGATTCAGTATGAAGGATACCAACCTCTAGTTCCTTTACTGAGTAGATTATTACTGAAACAAGACCTCTCAGAAAAGACCACAATAGTTTAGGTTTACCTCAAGGTCCCAGGCAGCCTTAGCAAACTGAGAGTTTGGATAAGGAACCAGAGGGTCCCACCCTCAGGAGAATCCAGTGAGTCACTATCATTTAGTATTTACCTCAAACAGTAAACAGGCTGCTTCTCCATAACTGCTTCTTCCTACATGTCAAACACACCTCTTTGGATTTAGGGGATTTCATGCTAAATGCCAACGAAGCAGCAGCAACATAAGCAAAGAAGCTAATATAGATAAGGCCAGACCAACCACTCCACCCTACTGTGAGCAGCTGTTACAAGGCAGGTGCCACAAAACCTACAAGCGGCTACACTGCACGCAAGCCAAAGCTTATGTGCTCTGTGAAGAGCGAAAATCCAACCAACTTTCGTTGAAAAGATCACATAAGGAAAGAAAATTAATAATAATCCTCCCCTCAAACCTCAATCCAAATTCTCACTCTACACTTATTTTACCTACTGCTGAGACACTACATGCAGAAGAACTGCTCTGGAGCACCAGTTACCCAGATCATGCTTTTCTAGATCTAATCAATTAAGATTTCAACTTTGAAGGGCAAGCCTGAGCCTCCTTCCAACATTCCATGTTCAAGACCTGAACAAATGTTTTGCCAACCCCAAACCAGTCACAGTACAGCTCTTCCAACCGTCAACATGCTGCCACACTCAGCATCCATCGATTTATGTGAGGCATAATGTTGGCAGCTTCTTAAAGTTTTCCCAAAGTTATGAAAATAAGACTACTAAACAAAAGCTCCTTCCTAGTATGTCACAAAGAATACTACATTGCATTTGTCTTCTTTGAGAGGAAGCAAGATTGTCAAAAACTGAATTTACAGAACAGTAGTCCCTATACAGTAATTACATATTTTAATGTCCAATTAAGTTTACGGATGCAAAACACAGGCTTCAAGATATAAAGCATGCACAAAAATAAGTATAAAGTGTTAATATTAATGAGGTTCTGCTACAGAACATGAATAAAAATACTGGGAAAACAAACACACACACTTTACTTACGAGAATAGAACACGCAATGCCAGCAATAAAACATATGCCAAACCATTTGACTCTGGTACCAAAGCTGAGTGTTGAAGCATCAAGGACCTTGAAAGAAAGAGGGGAAAGGAAAAAAAAAGAGGGGGTGGGGAAGATATTAGAATCAGTTTTAAAACATTTAAAAGGCACGTTTCCTTTACTATTAAAGTGTTTAATTGAAAACAGTTTGCCTCAAACAAAACCAGTTATTTTAACTAGCCTAAGAAACATGTCTGCTTGCATAATAATTACTTCCTCAGCTACCTACAACAAACTTAAATTCCCATACAGTTGTTTCAAAGCAGGAAAATGACAGGAGCTTCTAGCGACTTGCTGGTGAATATCTCCATTGGCACATTACTGTATATTCCTACAGATACTACTGCTATCATCTGCTACTACATGGACTCCACTGTTCCTACCAGTACAAGTATGCTGTGCAAGTATTACAATTCCCCCTCAATTACTGTTCCTTACAGGGAAGGAAAAAAGGCATAGGCGATTAACACAACTTCCCACCCGAGAGCTTGCTCACGGCAAGGAGCAAGATGCTTCCTACTTCTCCTGGGCAACTCTGGCACTGTCAAATCCTTCCAAAAAGAAAAGCGACCCAGCTCCAGAAGCTAGAGGACTACTCTGCCTCTCACTTCCATGGCTTAGTCCTATGCTAGACAAATAAGGAGAAAACAGCATGGCAGGAGTTTGGAAAAGCAGCAATGCTAACACAAGAGAAGCGGCAGAGCTGCATGGCTGGCACCAGAAACATCCCTTTCAGCAGCAGTGACTTGTTAGATCTGCTCAGCCTGTTTTTTCCGGTCATGCTCTTCATTTCAGCTTTCTACAAGTCACTAGAATTAAATTTATGCTCTGTTGCAAGTTGCTCTATTGACTGTTGCTTCCATACACCCAAGATGATTGTAAAACGTAACTTTTCAATTTATTTCAATCACACAAGGGAACTTGACCTCTCATTTCTGTTCCTGTTATCTACTCTACAGCTATTCTCAACTATTATCAACCAAATGTACAACAGCAGAACTTCCCCAGTTGGATAAATAGGTGATGTTCCATTCTCTTCAGAAATCTTTCCTTCAGGTAGTGGTAAGCAAATGAATGAAATTTGGTTGCTACTTAAAATAATATCGCATCTGTACAAACAAAGAATCCATACCCAATATAATCCAAAGGAATTACAAAAACTAACATTCATGGGCTCTAATGAATCAGTATCCAAATGTGCTTCAAAGAATGGCTTGCTCTTTTCTACTTAAAAACACACAAACAAAAAACCTGCTACCAACCTTATTTAAATTAAATATTTGGAATATTTAATGGGCAGAGGATCAGAATACTGAAAACAATCTTCTGTATTTGCATACTTGCTGAATACACTGCTAGAACACAATACGGTACTGAATTTTCTGCCCCTTTTTCTCTGTTCAGAAACTAAAGCAGAACTTTCCAAAGGCCTGAGGATGCCACTTACCTCATTAGATCCAACTCTTTATCCTTATGTAAGCGTTAAAGAGATAGACAAAAAAAGTAACTAAAACATGATTCAATATTTGAAGCCGTATTTGACAGTTTTTTAAATGCCTGTATGGGTGGGGAGTGGAGGAAAAGCTGGTGGTAAAGAACTGAAGATACACATTTGAATCATGCTTTTAGTTTTATCTATTCATGCAGCTAATCACATGTACATATAAAAAAAAAAAAAAAAAAAAAAAAAAAAAAAAAGGTAAAGTCCTTTCAACTCTAGCTCAGAAAGGAAGGGCTGGGTGAGCTAAAAGTATCAGCAGACCCAACACATGACATGTGAGATTTCCTGGAAAAAGGAGGGAGAGGATGAAGGCAAAATGTTTCTTCAAGCTTATCAGCTTATAACCTGCAACGGTTATTCAGTAGAAAAAAAATGCTAAGAATGCAGACAAATGAACCTTAAAAAGCTCAGAAAAAGTCAAATCCAAAATGCAATTTTAAAAACAGCTTAATACATTAAATACATTTTATAGATATATTTATTAAAAGCCCGGATCGGCAATACCATGTGCACATGAACCGCACAAGAGGCTAAACAGCACGAGCAAGGGCTGCCAGATCTCAGTGGGACAGTATTCACACAATGACAAAACTGAAGAAATGAATTGACATTAAAATAAAGTCTGATCCTCCAACCATTTCTGCGACCATTACTATTTATGATCTCAAGCTACACATAGTTAATGCAATAACCAAAACCACGGAGCTCCAGTTTCTCGATCGTATTTTTTTAAGTGCTGGTGCATTTGGATTTAGTGGAATTGAAAACCTTTGAGATGGCTGTTTCACCCTTGTGGTAAAGCACCGTGCAGCAGAAGTGGAATAACAGGTACTTAGTTCAACAATTTACAATACAGATTTCAGCTTGTAATAAAAGTGTCAGACTATGATCTGTTAAAGTTAGGGAACTGACTTAGAGCTATTCTGCCATGTCTACTACATGAGCAAGAATTTCAGGCAGCATGATGGCCAGGAAAAATAAGTTTAGTTTTTCACAATTAAATTCAATGGTTACTTTGAATAAGACTCCTAAGAAAAAGTTGTTTAAGCTGTATTTATAGCAAAAGCAGTCAAAAGTCAGATGATTGACATATTTCTCTAGTATTGTCTCAGATTGAGCTGTACAGCTCATTCCCAATTTCAGATAAAAATAGTTGGCACACCACTCTGTAGCACTTGTGTGAGCAGTAGCTTTTACTTAGAAAAACGGACAAAATTGCAACACGAATTCCACATCTGGAGAAAGTTTCTCCAGAAAAGCTGTGAAGGGGGGTAGGAGGGAGGGAATTCCTATAAGGCCTATCCTTCTTGGTATGCCAGTTATCAACTTGTTTCTAAGCAATTAACAAAACGGAGGGGGAGAAGGAGGAGAAAGAACAGAAATGCTTGGCTTTCTATAGCTGGGCTTTAATGCCCAACTCCTGGGAAAACAACAAAGATCTTTATCCATAGGAGACTCCAAGAGAACATGAAATCTAAGAAATGACCAAAAGCACCCAGAAATCGAGACAGAAACCAAAGCAGAAACTGGAATCAGGAAGGCAGACTTCCCAAATCATCAGGCATGGCATTGCAACAGTCCAGTGCACAAGGTGCAAGTGTCAGAAAGCTGTAACCCTACTGAACAGTGCATGCTTACCATGGACACCCAATAAATCACACAGTAACCTGAAAAACTGCCTTTGAGCAAGAACATTTCTTGCATTCCTGATCATTGAACCTGGGCTCCTATTCCCTTTAAAAATAAGCTTGCAGAAGTTTTCATGCAGAATTTCTTTTAAATCTTTTACAGATTTAGAGCAGATTCTAGAAGTTTTTTTTTCTTGACAGCAAATTTAAGTAGCTGAGAAAGCACAAATCCAAAGATGTGTTCAGTATAGTCAAAGGATCTAGCTCTTAATGCGTGTTCAGGGGTAGGTTAATATGAAATACATATCATTTTATTGAAGATTAGTTTTTAATGAAAGCAGAGGGTTTGTTGTTAAGTTCTGGCCCCATGGCAGTAACTGATTTCATTATGAAAATCTGAAGAAAAATATTTTCTGTTTTGTTTTTTTCTGTCCTAAGTTTCCACGTGCGCTTCTACAGCATACAGGATAGCTTTTAAATATGTACATGTTCTTGCTATTTAAAGTCTTCTCACACTGTAACACCACTACATATGATCATCAAATTATACTATATATAGTTTAGCTATTTGGTTACTAACATTTAACAAGTGACAGTCTCAGCTCAGTTCCCCCTTTCTGAGAACACACATCTCAAAACAAAAACTATTCAAAGTTTAGGCAATTATCTTTTGACTGCTGCCTTGAAACAAACATCACATCGAGTCTCTTCATCACAATTTGTGCCACATACGAAACGGACCTGAAGACTTATTTCCGAATTGATATCTTTTAGTGTGAAGATTAATAGCAAAGCATCTCTTTGATAAAGCTTGACATGAGATCAGGTGAAGCACCCCCAACACGGCCGGTTAACTCAGATGTGACGGGGCACAGGCCCAGCCCGCTTCCAGAGCGGCATCACACCTGGATGTGATTTTGTCGTGACCAAGAACCCGAGCTCTTGAACCCCACAGGCCAGCTGCAACTCTGTGCAAAGCCACAGGCCTCACACCAGCACATCCTAGACACCAAGGACACAGAGGCAGCTATGGCCAGCAGGCTTTATTAGCTACAGGCCAGACGCAGACTGCCCTACGGCCCGCTGCACTCCAGGACTCTGTGGCTGACAGTACCCGGATTCCCTGCAACGAGCAGCACTTTAGCCAGCAGATAACAGCAGCCGACTGGGCTAAACATGTAACAGGCTTTTCAAGGGTGTGCTCAGAACTGCTGCAAACTGGAAGTGAAACCCCAGGACTACAACGTGTTTGAATACAGTAAGAAAATACCCGAGGAAAGTTACAGGGGGAGCAATAAGAACGTTTAGTAGCACTTCAAGTGTATAGTTAATCATAGAATCATAGAATCATAGAATGCTTAGGGTTGGAAGGGACCTCTAGAGATCATCTAGTCCAACCCCCCTGCATACGCAGGGACACCTAAAGCACGTGGCACAGGACTGCATCCAAGCGGGTTTTGAAGATCTCCAGAGAAGGAGACTCCACAACCTCTCTGGGCAGCCTGTTCCAGTGCTCTGTCACCCTCACTGTTAAGAAATTTTTCCTTAAGTTCCTATGGAATTTTTGATGTTTCAGTTTCCGGCCATTTCCTCTAGTCCTATCAGTGGCCACCACTGAAAAGATACCATGACCGTCCTCTGCACTCCCTCCCTTGAGGTATTTATATACACTGATTAGATCCCCTCTCAGCCTTCTCTTCTCCAGGCTGAACAGGCCCAGCTCCCTCAGCCTCTCCTCATAGGGCAGATGTTCCAGGCCCCTGATCATCCTTGTAGCCCTGCGCTGGACTAAATTTATTTAATAAATAAATAAACTCCTACGAACACACACCGAGAGAGGGTAAGAGAAACACTTCAAAGCAGTAACACATAAACCAAAGCCACGCAGGAGGAAGACAAACACACGCACGAAAAGGGCACAACAGGCAGTCAGGTGGGGAAAAGAAATCGTCGAACCGAAGCCACCAGCGCGGCGAGAAAAACTCCCCACGGCGACACCTCGGAGGGGGGGCCCTCACCGCTCGGACACCCGCACAGTCCCGCTCGCGTCCCGGTACCCACGGCTGTTTTCTCCCGACCCGGACACGAACATGCGTGCAGCCGCCGGAGCGGCTCCCGGCCCCGCGGGGGCG